TTGATGATGATCCAGCTAATTGAGTACTTTTTTTAAATTCACGTATATAGCTATTTTTTCTAGTTCTTTTTCTATTTATTTTTTGGCTTGCATAAATTAATTAGAGTTGACTTCTGAGATTCCCCATGTGTTCTTAATTAAACTTCATTTTTCCCTTATAAATATTCCATTAAGACATCAAATTTCATCTTTAAAGACCAACATTATTAAGATGACTTTATATATTATAAGTTTATATTTTAATATTTATTCGATTTGATATTTATTTCTTAACATGTTTTCGCAAGATAGTGACCTTTTTTAGAACACAAATCATCTTATCCGTGTGCTCATTTAAATCCTAGTTGATACCATACTAAAGTCTCAAACAAATGTGAATTTTATTAAGAGTAATACCCAAAAATCTTGTCTAAAATCCTACAACTCGCACAAAATGGAACCTCGGCTAGGATCACGTGCCTTCCTTGATCACCGTTGCCTCACCCAAAGTGTCTATCATTGCTATGACCTGTGTGCTAAAAATTCTATATTTTTCCATATGTGGATTTTATCAAAAATATATTTCCCTTTTACCACTATAACATCATATACTCCATAACCAAGTTCAAATGCTGGCTGTCTCACATGCACTCCCATTGTGCTGCCACCCACCCACCAGCTCTGCAGCCTGCCTATTTGTTGGGTAAATTGTTGTCAAACGAACTTTTGTGTTATGATGTTAAATCATTAGTTATTTAGTTGGCATCGATCAAATGAATGAATGGAAATATCAACACCTCAAATGGAACGACCTGAGCTTATAACTATTTTGGGTCATTGGAAGTAGCCGAATTCAATTAGAGCTGCTCATGGCTTGATCATTTACTCCTTGGACGGCTTTTGGTGTTTGACCCACTTAGTGGTTATCTATCGTCTCCTTTTTTGGGCCTAATCCATTACTTAACCTAAAAGCCTAATTTACTACTATATATTGGCCGCCACTTTGCTTTGAGAAATACACGTTATTGCTCTTGCCTTTTGTGAGAAAAAATCGATTGTTCTATCTCGGCTTTGTGCGTCCTACTACAGTGTTTTTTTCTCCTTCTCTTCCTTAGCCTTTGTGGTTGTTGTGTGGTTGCAATAATCTCCCACTTTTGTGCCCTTTGTGGGCAATACAAAAGCAATTGGAGTTAGGAGATTGAATTGTTATTTGGTGGTGTCGATCTCAGTTGGTTTGATACAACTGAGCCCGGATGGCCTTAGGTGTTCCATTCTTCCACTTTACATTTGGTATCAGAGCGTTGGTACAAGTTTTAGATCCAAAATCGACCAAAAAACTCACCCAAATTCGATTTCTCAAATTGATCAAACCTGCAACCTTGATTTTTGGCTAAACTGTGAAGTTTTTGAACAAACGGAAGTCAAAACTGGCGCTACTGGGTGTGTGGCGCGAGAAAGAGACGGTGGCCAGCGACGATGGCTCCTGGGAGCTCCGACGGTGGCGCACGCTGGCGCGTCGGGCAGAATCTGGAGAAGCTTCCTTTGGACAATTTTCTCGTTTCATCCTTCTGAACGTACTAATAACTTTAATTTTGTGTTTCAGGTTATACAATATATCTTGGATGATTTTTCCCCTAAACGTTCGGTTTGCAATCTTTGGTCAACTGCGTTGATACATTTGCTGAAACTTTAGGGTGAATAATGGTGGTCATAAAGCAGCAGATTCACATCTTTCAATTTTACGGACCTTTAGACGTGGTCTGCTTTGGTAAATTGACTTATCTCATTTAATTTCTAGTACTAGTGCGTCATCATGTGAGATGACAATAGGATTTCGATTGCCGTGTAGGGTAACCATCGACTGTGCTAGAAATTAAGAACAACTTGCCTTTAATTGTTACGTGATTAAACCATTCATTTGATAAAATCAGCTTATTATCTATGTGTTATACTGTGTGTGAAACTGTTTTGTTGACATATCTCTTTTGTTGTACCATTGATTCTATTTAGAATACCTAGGCATTGCCCGTTCGAACGTTCCTTTGATCTAAGATCGAGAATCTTACGAAACCCTGAAAATTTAGAACGGTATATATCGTTTGCGACACTGGATCTACTTTGTGTAGTTTAATTGTGTTTCTGTGCATTTCTAATTGGTTCGCAAAAAATTACAACTTACAATTTTGATTTGGAAATTTTTGACAGAAAATGTGATTTTTCAATCGGCAACAAAAAATAGAGGTATTTTGGTTCAACAAAAGGTTTCATAAGTCATCTATGGCAACTCTTCTGCTGCTTTTTCAAAAGAACAAAAAGAAGAAATCGATGAGTTTTCCTATACTTTAATCATTTTACACTTGTTTGACCTCATTCCGAAAAAAGTGAGTAAACTTAAAACCCCTAAACAACTTTAGAAAAAAATTAGAAGACTTGTATTTGCTCAAATCCTCCCCGAACAAGCTTTACTTACTTCATCAAGTACAAACGAGTGGTCAACTAACTTGTTGAACAATGCAAGTAATTTATTAAGTCCCCATTTGACATTTTTTTTTTTTTTTTGAAATTATAATTTGGTGAATCTCATAAAATATGTGATTAAAAATGCATAAAAAAATCAGGATCCAATAAAATATGTTGTTGAAAATAAATTTTAACTAGCTTATAATAAAAAACAAAAAAAGGGTCAAATAGGAGCTAACTTTGGAGTATTACCATGATTCTACTGCAAAATAGAGACCGGTCTTGATCATTACGATTCTATCGAGTTGTAGAACTATTTTGTCGAGTACCTTAAATAAATAAATAAATAATATGTAAGTATACCTCACTTGAGGCTTGTTTGTGAAAGATTTTTTTAAAAAAATTATTTTTTTCTCAGAACTTTAATTTCTATGAGACCCACAACCTTTCTTCAGTTTTCTCCACTTTTTAAAAATACATTCTTAAAAATCAATTTTCCCTGAAGCATTTGTGTCAAACAAGCTTTTATTCAATTATGAATTGATTTGAAATTTTTGGAAGGGAACAACCTCAAAAGTTTTTGGTTCAAATAGTGAAGATTTATATATCTTGAGCACTTTTTATTATTTATTTACCATTTGAATTTAATATCATTTAATTTATGCATTATTATCCAATGTGTTATTAAATTCTTGACGACTTTAGACCATTCAGTAATGATCAAAGGGTGAAACTAATAAATTCTTTATTATCCAACTGTCTAACTAGAACAAAGAAAACATGCAGCAACTAATTAGTAACAGGATCAAGAAAATGCTTTTGAATGTAAATCATTTGCTAAAGGTGTTTAGAAGCACCTTTTTTGAGAAGGATACATGTGGATCAATCTATTGACTACTAAATACTAGTTATTGAATTTCAAATGGCGATTGACAACCTTGGATTTCTTTGAACTAGGGGGATCATCCATAGAATCAGAGTCAGAGTCATATGCGTGACCACGTTTTCCTGCACTTTTAGGCGGTGTGTAGTTCCTATCAGCAGCAGCAGCAGCAACAACTTTTAGTCGTCCTTTATTGCGGGTCTTATTGTCGGATTTCAGTTTTCTATTTTCATGTACTGGGAAACTTGCACCTGTAGCGTTAAATCCCATTTCAGCAGTAGCAGCAGCAGCAGTTTCTGTAACGGCTGTCAAGTTTGCACGCACATTAAAATGTTCTTCGCAACTTGGACACGTTACTGCCAATGTTACTGATTTGACGTCTAATATTGGACTGCTATTGGTTACATTATGAATTTTCGGCTGCCAATATTCAGAACTGGGTCCTACATTTACCAACCCCGCAAAGGGATCTTCATCTTTAGGATTACCCATAAAACTCTCCTATATATGTACAAAAGTATATGAATTAGGTGAACAGAATCTTGATATGCATATATATGGTAATGTAGAAAATATAGTCGTACCTGATCTCTATAAATTCTGATCAAAGAAGACAATTGAGATAACAATTGATCATTGTAACGCTATCTTGGTTGCAATGTCCTTTATAATACATTTACATGTGAATATGATGACAGGTCAAACCTCATACACTATATTAAATTCTCATAAATTGTTGACTTTCTAAATTATTAGCAATTAGGATTAAACAAAAATAGTATACTAACCATCAGTGTTCATCTTATGATAAGCACCGATAACGTATTATATAAACTCATTGGTCGGCGATGCTCATTAAATCATTTTCCGTAGGGTTAACATTCTATAATATTAAAACTATGTTCACTATGAAACTCGAGAAATTGATGTGAAGAACACATCTAAATGAAGATCAATCCTATTTCTTCAAGTATATATGGTCCTTATAATATATTGTAGCCTAGTAGTTGAGCTTGATTTTGCTAATTACGTTCGTGATTTTAGTTCTATCAATATTCAAGATTATGTATTTAATGTCTCCTGAGCCATTTTAACTATATGAATTCTTGATTTACATGTAATTTAATTGGACTATTGTGCTAATTAGCAATGCATTTAATTTATTAAGTTCGTGTTTTACAAAGCTTTTTGAGATTATAAACTGGTGGATCCCATGAATTGTACGATTAAAAAGTAAATTAAAATTATGGATCCTATGATTTGTGAGGTTAAAAATAAAGTTTGACCAACTTATAATATAAAAAAAGATGTGGAACATGGGCTAAATTTTGAGTACTACCATGATTCTACTGTAAAATAGATATTCAGTGTTCATCATTTACATAACTGTTTTTCGAGTTCCCTAAATCAACGAAAGAATAGGTAAGTATACCTTACTTGAGTCTTGCTGTCAAAGATTTTTACAAACTATTTTTTCCTAAAATCATTTTCAATTATACAATCTTTAGGACTCATAATTTTTTTCCACTTTTTAATCACATAAACAAAAATAAATTTTTCTTGAAAAAATCTGTGCCAAACAAACTTTTATTC